TTCAAATTAATGCAATCATTCATTTCTGTAGTATATAATAACATAGCCTGAGTGGGATTTTCTGCCATTCAGAATTGAAACTACATAAATACTGATACAATATTATTATCCCCCTTTTACAGAAGAAAAAACTGAAATTTATACAAATAAGTTGCTTAAGTCACACAGTCAAATAAGTAGCAGAGTAAAGATATGAACTTGTGTTCATACAGTATCTGGGCTTATTCCATCCCCACTTCCCTGCCCTATTATTCATTTAATAGAGCTCTTCCCCCATTCCTGTTATTAATACCATGTTCTTCTTTTCTACTATCCTTTTTTGGCTTGCCTTTTTTCTCAGAGAAAGAAGTGTTCCTTCTCCGGATGGCTAGATTAGCCTCTCCTCTAATGATCTCGCTCTTATCGTCCTTGTCTTCTTTGGGACTTGGCTCTGTCAATCATTCAGGCTGTTGATTTGTCCATTTCTTCTTTTCACTTCAGCATATGAGAAAATTCAAGTCATGCTTGACACCTCCACCCTTACTCTTAATCCTGGTAACTCATTAAGCTCTTCCTTCCTTTATTACATTTACCAATTGCTAATTTTCTCTTAATTGAAATCACTCTTTTCAAAGACTGCATGGGGAGAGGCACTGCAAAAGAGAAGGAGATATTACGTTGTATTACAGGTTCTATTCCTGGTTGGGTCATGGTTATTAATGGACAGGATCAATGTGTGTTAAAATATCACCCATGACTCATGCTCTCTTTTGTGTTTCCTCTCCACGTCTCCCTGTAGTAAGCAGATCTAGATATGGCATTGGTCTAGTGGGGCATGCTGATTGTCCTTTTTTCTTATCCTGCATTCTTCCCTCCTTCATCCCATCTTTCCTACTCCTCCTTAGAGCAAGTCAAAGAAAGGCAAGATTTCCTAAGCACCTATTGTTATATTTCATGACCATGGCATGGGACCTACACTTTACCTTTGTACCTATTAACAATACAGGATGTTTATTCCGATGCTATTGTCTATTATATGTAAAGAAAGGAGGAATGGTCAGTTGGGCAGGATTCTGGCATTACTGAGTTTCTGAACATACATTCTGATTCTCAGCAGTCACCTTTGACTCCCTCAGCCCAGCTTTATTGTGGCATGATTGATAAATAAAAACTGTATATATTTAAGGTGTACCATGTGATAGATTTTAAAAAATATTTTATTTATTTATTCATGACAGACAGAGAGAGAGAGAGAGAGAGAGAGGCAGAGAGAGAGGCTCCACGCAGGGAGACTGACGTGGGACTCGATCCCGGGTCTCCAGGATCACACGCCAGGCTGAAGGCGGCACTAAACCGCTGGGCCACGGGGGCTGCCCCCATGTGATATTTTGATATGCACATACATTGTGAAATAATGACCACAATCGAGCTAATTAGCATACAGTATATTCATCACCTAAAAGGATTTTTTGTGAAAATGCTTAAAATATACTCTATTAGCAAATTTAAAGTATACAACATATTATTAACTATTAACTATTGTCATGGTGGTATACATTAGGTCTTTACTATTGACTTTCTCATAGTAATATTCAATGATTTTATATGAATTTTTATTCTCTTTGATGTCTATGCAATATATTTGATTCTCTTAGCTAGTCTCTCATTCTTGAAATTCTTTACTTGGTTTTTATGCCTTGTCATTGTACTAGCTACTTCTGGTAACTCAAACTTGTTTGTTTAATGGTCCAATATTTCTTACTTGTCTTCTGGCAAAATAGTACCCTGGATTTCACAACATCAGCCATATGATTTACTTCCACTCATAGCTCAAGGTGTGGGCACAGTTAGGCCCTCACTGGTCAGCAAGCAATCTCTCAACTATGGTAATTGGGTTATGGATGGGCACATAATGGACCGATCCAACTGGATACTGTACAATACATTTTTAAGGACTTCAGAGAAAGAAATCCTTTTTTTTTTTTGACCCTTAGACATATAGAATTAGATCTTAGACCCTTAGTCGATATAGAGTTTGGAGCTTCCTGTAGCCGCGCGTGACCGTCAGGTGGCTTTTGAAAATGGAGCTTAACTAGCAAGAAGCAGAATGCAGAGATGGAGCAAGGTCTCTCCTCCTGGTGACATCCTGGAGTTTGAGTCCTTCATCCAGCTACTTTGAAATCAGCCTATTATAGACTTTTCAGAGACAAGAGCTGATAAAGTCTCCCTTTCCCCCATGATTTTTAGCTTAAACCAGTTTGGGGTTTTTTCTCCTTTGCAATCTATATAGCACAAAAAACAAAACAACCTCTCCATTTTATTGTGTATAGATTCATACATATAGATTTATAGGGAAATTTCTAGAAAGATAAATGTCAAAGGAGTAGGAGTGGTTATCTCTGAGGAAGGGGGGCTATTATGGCAGGAGAGATGATTGGGAAGAGATTTATGTTTTTTTTTTCTTCTTAGACTGCTTCACGAGGATCAATTACTCAGAAAGTTAAAAATAAAGAGCCAATTAACACAAAGACAACACTGTGCTACTAACCTCCGCCCCTCCCAACAACAACTTTTATTGATTTAGTAACCAATATATTTGTCTGATATTCAGGATCTATAGCAGTGTAACTAAAACTTCTCTCTTCTTCCCCTCTTCTGTGGCGAGTCACTAGTATTCCTGGATGTTTGTAAAGCTAATGTACGTAAAACAGGGGCTTTAGAACTTACCTTGCAAACCAATAATGATGCTTATAATTATTATTATTATTATTATTATTATTATTATTATTATTATTTTTGCTTATAATTATTATTTACTGTGTAATGGCAACCAATTCTATTTCAAAATACGTTTTCATGCTCTCTCTAGTCAATGAGTAGTCGCTGCACCATTTATCTGCTTTGCAAATAAAAAGGAAAAAAAACAAGGCACAAACTAATCTATAGCTTCGTCTCAAGTTGCACAGTAAAACAGTAATAGTGATGGGACTCATGTTTTTTGATTCTCTCCTGATGAGCTTTCCATTTCTCCAAAATCTGCACCTGGGGAAGGACTTAGGGAACTCCGGTTAAGATTCCGCTCTCGTGCTAAAATGAACTCGAACTCTACTAAGTTTACTGATGCCTTTTTTTTTCATGTCATATTTCCTTTGAGATGTAACCTGGCCTTAGATATATAAATGCCCTGATGATACAGAACAGAAACATTTTACGTAGTTTACTGTTCCGTGACACAAAAATCTGAACTTACAGCAAGGGATGCTCAGGAGTACTCACTACACCTGCTTGGAGTAAGAGGCAGTTTGTTGCAGCTCAGCAAGAGCAACTGTTAACAGTATCCGCTGATGCTCATCTGCGGAGCCGGGCTCTTTACAAGAGGGGAATCGATTCACCACCAGGGGGCGCAGGTTTTCTATAGCAGCCGGAAAAAGAGGCGCTTTCTCCCGAATCTTTCCTGAAGTTTGAATATTAAAGAGTTCATTGCTCCGGAGCTAAAAGCTCTTTCTGTTTAACTGATCCCTGGGGATGATGATAGAGCCTTGCTTTAAAGCCACACAATCTATCAGTTAAACCTTCTGAGCTCATTCATTCATTTTTCCCGGTTTCTGGAAAAGAAAGTGCTATAATTTGGAGATAATCATGACAGACAATCCAAATGAAAGCAATTTTGACAAATTCTAATAAAACTTTTTATTGAAATAGGGATGACAAAATCCTTTTCTCTAAGAGGAAAACAGACTATTTTAGGCATCGGGCTAACAACTTCTTGCTCCAATAAAGGAAATAAGGGCCCCGGAGCCCTAAGAAATAGAATCTTACGCTGCTTTAACTCATGCCCTCAGCCTGAAGAATGAGAGCAAATTCCAGAGACAAGGTAATCTTTCTCCTTTGAAGTAGAACTGTATAAAATGATTGACAAAGGACGTAAAGCGGAGGTAGGGGACTCAACAATAGGCAATTCAACGGTTTAAAAACTCGGTCACAAATGATGCCCTCTTTGCTTTGTTTCAGGTGAATAAGGCACATCCTTCTTCTTTTTTTTTATTTTTATTTTTATTTTTTTATTTTTAGGTGAGCCTGTTGGGGGAGGAAGGTGGAGGATGCCTTAAATCACACATGGGATTCTAGGTGTCTCCTTTCTACCCCTGGGAAGTACCTGGTTATACGCGAGTGGAATGCATTAATTAATGTAAATTTTCTTTTTACACATCAGGGACTCATGGAAGGAATTTTGGCATTCGCCTGGGCCACATACGTTATCTCTGCCCTCAAGAATTAGGATGTACCAGGGATCCCTGGTGGCGCAGCGGTTTGGCGCCTGCCTTTGGCCCAGGGCGCGATCCTGGAGACCCGGGATCGAATCCCACGTCGGGCTCCCGGTGCATGGAGCCTGCTTCTCCCTCTGCCTGTGTCTCTGCCTCTCTCTCTCTCTCTCTCTCTGTGAATATCATAAGTGGATAACAATTAAAAAAAGAATGAGGATGTACCGTGTCCTCACCATAAGCATGAGTCGAGGGGTTACTGGCAATGAGGGGAGACTGCCTATAGACAGGGGAGAGAGCACAGCTCAGAAGGCTCCAGAACAAACTCACTCATGTCACAATATTATAAAAGAAAGCGGGCTTGCTAGGTACCGTGGCGGGATCTATTTTCCTGGGCCCTTCCTAGCTTTGGCCCTCCGCAGTCTGTCGGAAGGCCCGTCAGGATGTTTTAAGGGGGGTCTCTCCCTAGCCCTACCCTGGAAGCCTATTCCCCGGCCTTCCCACACTGGCCTGCTCCCCAGCTGCAGTCCAGCCGGGGTTAACTCCCTGCAGATGCCAGCTCCCTAAACCAAGGAGCCGCGGTCAGAGGTCGCGCCAGGGCGGGAGAGGGCGGGGTGGAGAGCGGGGTGGAGAGGTCTCCGGGGCCGGAGCCCGGCCCCACCCAGGCGGGGGGCGGAGCCTCTCCGCGGCCCCGCCCCCGGGCCCGGAGCACGTGACCGCGGCCCCGCCCCCGCCTCCCGCCCGCTCGGCAGCGCCAGCTCGGCAGGCGCGGGGCGCGAGTGCCGAGGGAGCCCCGCCAGCCTGCAACTCGGCTGCGGCGCCGGAGCTCGGCCGCCCGCAACTTTCTCCCCGGAGCGGCGGCAGCCGGCGCGGGAGCCGGGAGGAGGAAGGCGGCGGCCGCTGCCCCCGGCCGCTCGGGCTCCCCGGCCCGCGGAGAGCCCGCCGAGCCCGCCCCCGCCGAGCCCGCCCCCGCCGAGCCCGCCCGCCCCGGGGAGGTCCCGGGCCCCTGCCCTATGTCCCGCAAGGCGAGCGAGAATGTGGAGTACACGCTGCGGAGCCTGAGCAGCCTCATGGGCGAGCGGCGCAGGAAGCAGCCGGAGCCGGACGCGGCGAGCGCGGCGGGGGAGCGCAGCCTCCTGGCGGCCGCCGAGTCGAGCTCCAGCCTGCAGAGCGCGGGCGCGGGCGCGGGCGGCGGCGGCGGCGGCGGCGGCGGCGGCGGCGGCGGCGGCGGCGGCGGCGGCGGCGGGGACCTGGAGCGCGCGGCGCGGCGGCAGTTCCAGCAGGACGAGACCCCCGCCTTCGTGTACGTGGCGGCCGTGTTCTCGGCGCTCGGCGGCTTCCTGTTCGGCTACGACACCGGCGTGGTGTCGGGGGCCATGCTGCTGCTCAAGCGGCAGCTCAGCCTGGACGCGCTGTGGCAGGAGCTGCTGGTGTCCAGCACGGTGGGGGCGGCCGCCGTCTCGGCGCTGGCCGGCGGGGCCCTCAACGGCGTGCTCGGCCGCCGCGCCGCCATCCTGCTGGCCAGCGCGCTGTTCGCCGCCGGCTCCGCGGTGCTGGCCGCGGCCGGGAACCGGGAGACGCTGCTCGCCGGCCGGCTGGTCGTGGGGCTCGGCATCGGTGAGTCGGGGCGGCCGCCTGCGCTGGGCGCCCTCCGGGGCCCCCGTCGGGGGCTGGCTGGGCCCGAGGACGCTCCGCCGCTTGGCCGGCTCCGCAGGCGCGCGCGCGTGTGTGTGTGTGTGTGTGTGTGTGCGCGTGTTACCCCGCGGAGGGCTCCCCCGACCCACGACAAGGACAAGTGAGCAAGTGAATCCGCGCGACGGTGGCATCGCCTTAGCGCTCCTAGGAACCTTGATCCAGCCCTGCCTGATGCCCCTCTAGAGTTCTAGGAGGGGGAAGAGCCCCTTCCTGCGTTCTCTCCCTTTCTTTTTTCTGCTGCTAGCGCCTTGCCTTTGGGGATCCCAGACTCCCAACCTCATCCTCATCAGACTTGAGTTCTCACTAAGAGGGACGCCTGGGTGGCCCAGCGGTTGAGCATCTATCTGCCTCCGGCTCGGGGCGTGATCCCACCGTCCCGGGATCGAGTCTCACTCACACCGGGCTCCCTGCGTGGAGCCTGCTTCTCCCTCTGCCTGTGCCTCTGCCTGCCTCTCTCTCTCTCTCTCTGTCTCTCATGGATGAATGAATAAAGTCTTTTAATAAAAAAAAAAAAGAACATTCCCAGTAGGATAAATTTTAAAGTTAATCGGGTGATTCTGGACTCTGTTCTTTGCCACCTGTACACTTTTCTTCCTTCTCTAGTCATGTATCCTTATTTCTCTCTCTTTTTTTGCTCTTACCGTTGTACTGCTGCTTGCTTTCATATTTTAACCAGATGAATTCCTTCTCTCTCTTTCTAACTTTTTCTTTTAAATCCACATCCACCCATTCTCTTTCGTTTTGCCTCTCTTGCTTTCCCGTTGGGAACCAAATTCTCTACGAAAGGTCATATTCACTTATTAAATTCATTTAAGAGCCACTCCCCCTGTGGATAAATGCCCAGCAAGATGGATGTTTGCAATTACTTCAAAAATGAAAGGATTAAGGTTCCCCTGGCATTGATTTTTTTTTTCACCCTGGTTGCTGAGCAGGGGACGTACAATTGGCAAGTTCTTGGCAGACAGGACCCATTTGGAAATGTCCTTGGTATTATTAGAAAGCACTTTTGAGGGAGAAGTAGGGGGTTGAGACATAAATCTCACTAGTAATTTTTTTAAGGAGGCTGCTGATGCTTCTTAAAGGTTTCATTTTATAATTCAGTTTGTCTCCTTTAGAGTGCTGTTGAAGTATTTTTTTTTTCTCTATGGCTGGGGCTTGATGAAAACTCTTTAAACCTGGGACTCCTAATAATTTGTCCATTCACCAACTTGACATGGTTTTCACTCCTTTCCTTGTCGTGTCTAAGGGGAAGTGAGCCCCAGTTACACAGCTCCACGTTTAGGAACCATGAGCCTAAACTTCAGCTCACTGCACTTCATATCCCAAATCTGTCGTCACTGACCTTCGTTTTATTTCACTGTTTCAATTAGTGAAGCAGGCAAGGCTCTCAGTAAAATATTAAGTTGGCACGTTAAAGTCCAAAATGACCAAAACGTACAGCTGAGATGAAACAAACCTCTGTGTAGAGGAACTACCTGTGCCTTCAGATCCCGTCGATAAATAACCTGTGGTCAAAATCAAAGGGTCAGGATTCTTTTCTCATTATTTTCAGCATTCTCTGCTTGGGACGCCTGAACCACATTTATTGTTTCTTCTGACCTAAAAATAACATAATTTCAGGTGGCAAGGTTTGTTCAGTAAGACTGACTCTTGTGATTTTTGAAATTGAATAATGTTTTGCGGAGATCTTTGAAAGCTTTCTGGACTTGAGCTGTGGCAGGTATTGGGTATTTGGGATACTCTGTTTACTCCTTTTTTTTTTTTTTTTTTTTAATCTGCTGGGAAAATTGAGCTCCTGTTGTGTGTCAGGTCTCCATCCAGGTGTAAGCCGCAGCATGGTGAGGAGCATTTAACTCTAGTGAGAGTAGCAGGTGGGAGTAAAGCCAGGTAGAACTTGCTAGGCTCTAGAAGGTAGCTCGTGGAGACAAGGGCTGATGCATTCAGGATCAGTACGGTTACCCTAACAGAGGGAAGCTGGAAGCTCTTCTTCACAGCAGTGGTATGTTGATGAGTGTGTAGTGTTCTAACAGAGAGGGAGAAAGGACCTTCTAAGCCAGGGGGTGAGTAAAGACAGCACAGGGCATGCTTGGGGAGGAAGGTGGATGCAACACAGAGGATGAAGCGGGAGGCAAGATTGGAAAGGTTGATGTGCAGGAACTACCTGTGTATCTCACAGCCTCCTTCTGCTTGCCTGCCAGCGCATCCTAGTTAAGACCTGGTCCTGATTTAGTCTTAGGGTGTGAGCCATCTCCTCTGAAATACACTCTTAGAATAGAAGGCCTGATACAAAGTATCATAAAAGCCACCCTAAAGTCATAAACAGGTTTTGAAATAGACTACATTTTGAATTAGGATTATGCACAGCATGCAATTGCACATGTAAAATCCTTAAAACGCGCAAGAATTACCTCCCAAAGGAGAAGTCACAATTATTTTTAGCTACAAGGAAATGTGTCCCTAACATGAATTTTTTTTTTTTTTTTTTTGAGGAGGATGGGAGGACATTAAATCATTTTCGCTTGCTTAGTAGGTAAAATCTGGGTGAATTTCATGCTACTTTTTTTGAATAGTTAATTTTTATGCGTGGTGGGAAGGTTTTTTTTTTTTTTTTTTGGCCCTTTTGATACTTAACTAATGATGAATAACAAGATGTGGCTTTTGCTGTTTTTTTTTTTTTTGTTGTTGTTTTGTTTTTAAGATAAGTTTGCAGTGAGAATTTCTTCCACAGATTTACCTGTGGTAAATATAAAACCCATGGGAACAGGGCTTTTGTTCATTTTGTTCACTGATGTGTGTTCCTAGCCTATGGGAGGCACTTACTAATTGGAATAGTGAGCAGAAACATTAAAAAAAAAATCCACTTCTGTAAAAGTTATCAACAAAATATTTGAAAGGCCATCCAAGGGTTTTAGTTTCTGATACTTTAATGCAATCATTCATTTATCTCTTCAACAAATGCTAATTAAGCTTCCATTATTGATTTCTGTCAGATTTGGCATAGGCAGTAATTAGATAAAAATCCCACCCTGGAGGTGTGAGGTGTTCATTCTCTTAATAGAATGGAAAGACCATCAACAAACAAAATACAATAGAAGTTTCTCTAAGAGGTACTGGAAACAGAAGAGTAGGCAGTTGATTCTTTTAGGGGGAAGTAAATAGAACACCTAGGAGGTTTTACAGAAAAATACTGAAACTGGGGTTTGAAGGGTGAGTAGGAGTTCAGATGTAGAGGGAGCTGGGAAAAGAGCTAATATTCAGTGCTTTAGTTCCTACTAGGCATCCTGCATTACTTTACATGTGTTACTTCATTACACGTGTTATTTTAATCCTGACTGAAATAGATGGGGAACAGGTCCTCTTTTGCTGGATGTAGGAACAGTTCATAGCAGTTAAATGACAGGGTCACTGGTACAAAGTCAAGATTTAAGAAAAAAAAAAAAACAACAACCAGAATCAGAGTCTTTTGCTGGGCATTTAAGGTAGCATTAACAGTGGGTATAAAGACCTAGAAAAATCAAAGCAGTATTTGAAGCATAAAGTGAGTGAAGGGTGGCAATGGGGGTGCTCATGAAACTAGAATGTTATTTTGGGGGGAGGGTTAGACTGAATAGGGATTATTTGGCAGTGCCTATACAGGGACAGTCATGGGAGGTTTTTAGCGATAAACGATGTGGTCAGATTAAACATCCTTTGTATTTGGTCTTCCCCCTCCCGCTTTTTGCTTTTAAACTCTTATTTTCTTCCCCAAACCTTCTTGCCTCTTTGAATTTTGTAGTATTAGAAAGCCTCTGCTGACATGGTTACTGCAGGGTGGGTAAAGCCTAGCAAGTGGCCATGAATTACTGGAAAAGGAAGATTCCGTGGGGCCTTCAACAGAAACCTTTGAAAAAGATAAGCTGTAGAGTGTAGTTGATCTGTATTAAATGAGTCATGTCATAAAAGAAGCATCAGAAATTGGGTATTGGTGTTTGATTTAGTTTAAGGATTTGGTTTTCTTTTTACAACAAAATCATCTTACTGGGTGCTTGTTTGAATAGGGCATGACTTGAGGTTTTTTTTTTCACCAGAGTTTCCTTTGGTTCCTCTGGTTGGTTTTGCTCTTTTCTCGCATTGAGTCCTGGGACCGACTGATTAGCCCTTTCTCCACAGTGTTGGCATTTACTCTACTGCTCATAGTAAGCAATGATTTAGTGCCTGTGTAGCAAGTATCAAGAAGTGTCTAAACAGATATTCACCAATATTCAAAACCTTTACTGAGAACTGACGTATTAATTTATACAGCACTGGGTTTGTTGAATTAATCTTAGATTTATATCACTTTCTCCTGTCCCAGTACTCCCTCTACTGGAACACAGTTTGTGGCTGCATATTGCAGCCTGTGATCAGTCTGTTATAACCCGTAGAGTAACATTGTTAAAAAATACTTTTTTTTTTTTTTCCAAATAGCACTTTGAATTCTTATTCTGTGTTGCAAAGCAAATACAAAATCTTGTTTGATCAAAAGCAAGGAATGCAGGGTTAGTCAGAATCAACCAGATTTTTAAAATAATAGCTGATGTAATTTTATTTTTTGCCATCAAGTTTTTTTTTCCTACTTACTCCCTGCCTACTCCTCCCCTTCCCCTTTCAGTTTCATCTTTTTTTTTTTTTTTCTTTTCAGTTTCATCCTTTAAAGCAGAATTTCTTTGTTGGATTTCTGCTTTCTACCTGTATGAACCTGACAGGTAAAGTAAAACTTTATTTTACTTCCTCTGTTTCCTTGTTTTACACACTTTGTATGTATGTACAAAGCCCCCTCTACTTTTCTGTCTGGTGGCATTGACATTGCAGGGGTACATTGAGGATTATGAGCTAATTACGTTTGCTTGGTTAATGTTGCAACACCCTCCTCGAGTGAGTTGTCGGTAAGACTACAGAAATCT